TTTATTTATTATTAAATATTTATGTAATTGAAAAAATATTTATTCACTTTTTTTATACATTATTATGTAAATTTAATTTTTTAAATTTGATCAATGCTTAATTATTTCAATAATAAACGTTAAAAATTTAAATTTTGTATATTTAATTTTCAAATTTACCAAATAAGGCATATATTTAATAGGAAATATTAAATTTGATATTGTGAACTGCACAAATTTCATCCAATGCTTAACTACGTGAAAATAAGGATGTGTTAAATTTAGAAAATCACAATGTTCACTTGGCATTAAATGAGATTAAGGCATGTTTGTTTGAAAAATGCCAATGATGTTATAATAATTAAATTAAATGATGACTAAAAATATATATTTATTTATATATATTTGTTTATTTTTTTAACCATATTAAATTTTAGAATCTATTATGATTATTTATTAGAAATAAGAATTGAGTTTGAAAGATCGGGATGAAATTAGATGTTTTGTTTAGGAAGTTTGACATTCGGTTCAGAGATTAATCAGTTTAGATGATAATTCGATCTTATTTTCTATATTAAAAGTTATCTTCATATTAATTTAAACACAAAATTAAGAAAGGAATAAAAATTATTGAGCATTATTCTATTTGTTCGATCATTTGACTTAAGAATTAGAAATATTTCTCATTAAATGTTGTTAGGTAACAATGCTTTCTTTATTTCTTTATTAAATTTGAGTTAATTTATTTCGAATATCATTTATTTTCTAACAGGATAAAAATAAAAAATACTAATTAAATTTAGAGGATAACTTAATTAGTTAATGCATTTTAATTCCCAAATCTGGATCAGGATTCAAAATTAATCTTTAGAGAAGATTTGTAACCGAGGACAAATAAAGAAAAAGACTACTCCTAAATTAATAATGTAAATAAATTAACATATCAAAAATTAAAATATCCAAAATATGAGGGTGCATAATGTAATTTACCGTCTGTGTCCTATAACCTAATCTCCGCCACCGCGCGCGAAACGTCTCTCCCGTTGAACCCCGAAATCTTAAACTCCTGCAATCGATTTCCTCCACTTTCGCATTCGAAACTACAATTCGAACTTTGAACTTTCTCTTTCTATACCTAAACTTCCGCAGTACTGCTCTTCGTCTGACTTCGCAGCTTGAATATGGTGATAGCCGTGCAAATTCATAAAAAGGCAAATTCAAGATTTATTTTAGAAACTGATTCTCCCTCAACCCGTTTCAGAATCCATAATCCGTGTGAAATTTCAGAAATTTAGGTTTTTGAAAGGTGAATTTCATCAGATTTGACTAGTATTTTCTTTAAAATTTAGTGGCAGATGTGTGTTGAATATGGTAGTGGTTAGATGGGCCAGCGTGATTTTCTGTTAAGGGTTTGGGATTTTGGACCTAATTAATGGGCGCCCCGACGAGCAATAGAAGAAAGCGTGATGATTTCTGCAATACTCTGAATTGCCAACACCAATATCTGAACTCATCCAATTTAGATAACCTACTCATTTCCCATGTGTCCAAGAAGCCCAAAATTTCTCAATCTATGCATCTGAATTCTGAAATTCCGGGTTCAACGAAGAGTACGGCGTTGAGAATATATCGATACCCCGAGCCCGTGAATCCTCTTCCGAGGGAAATTCACGCCCCTTATAGAGTTCCCAGATTTGGGTTTCAAGAAAGTTTGAATCGAGAGTCCAGATTGAGAAGAGTTGGGTTTTGGCGGGAGGCTTTAGGTGAGGTTATGGGAATGCTCTTAGTTCTCCCTTTGATTGGACGAAGAATCGCACGTCTGAGGCGCTGCGTTGTTGTACGAAGAAGGGTAAGGAAGTGATTTATGTTGATGATGACGAACAAACTGATAAGGACAATGTTACGGATGATTCAAGCATTAAGGAGGCTGAATTTGTGGAAGACCGCCACAAAGGGGAATTGGTGGTTTTGGACAAGAGGTTGCAGGAGAAGCTCGAACAGAAAAACTTTCAGCCATCTTCATCCTCAGCGGTTTCTGTTATGACAGATGCAAATCTTAAAGTGGATGGTTCAGGCACAACGGTTAGCTCGCTTTTACCAAACCGGGATGCGGAAGCCTTGGGCTTGCCAACACACAAGAGGCTGCTAGCGACTGCGGAGCGGCGGAATACCAAGTTGAGCAGTTTGGGTTTTCAAATTTCATTACTCGAGAGGCTACGCGCTAGATTTCAACTGTTGCGCCCTGCCAAGAAACCGGAAGAGGAGGTGAAATATCTTTGTTACTATTGTTCTGGAAAGGGTGCACATGTATATTCAGTATTCATGTTCTTATGTCCAGCTGATTTATGGTAGGATGCTCTTCAAGATGTGCTCCGTGAACCTTTTGTTCCGCTTGCAGAGGAAGAAGAGGTTGAGGTTTCTAAGGCCTTATCCAATTCCAGTAGGTATGGATTTCACGAGAGCATTCGATTTTGTTATAGGGTGAGTATTAGCTTGGTTGATATGTCATCTTATTTCTGCAGGAGGAAGGTTTTGGTCAGTCATGAGAATTCTAACATCGAAATTACTGGAGAAATTTTACAATGTTTGAGACCTCGTGAATGGTTGAATGATGAGGTGATCCTTTGTATACCTTCTCTACTTGTCATTATTTTCATTGTTGCATTAAGCTTAGGGATTTGAGTTAATCAATTTTTTCATTATTGAGCAGAAGATGGATTCATGTGTTGGTAGGGAAGTTTCTTAACAGGAATTGTTTTATTCTCTTGTAGGTGATAAATGTTTATCTTGAATTGCTGAAAGAGAGGGAAAAGAGAGAACCAAAAAAGTTCTTGAAGTGTCATTTCTTCAACACATTCTTTTATAAGAAGGTCTGAATTGTTTCTTTTTCATACATTGCTGCATACCAAGCCATCTAGTATGTGACATTTGTCAATTGTTCTTTGGCTTTTTGACTCCATTTGCTCTTGGATTTCAAGTACTCTTCTTAACAACCAATACTTGGTAGAACTTAATATTTTGAAATTTGAAGTTATTATCATTTTTTCATTTCTTGTTCTCTTCTGAAGCTGTCCTGCTCTTTAAATGGTACTTTCCAACGTTGATATCATGTTAACATTTAGAATTAGATACTTTGAAACAGTCAGGAAATGGTCAAATTTATTTATGTTATGATGGCGCATTTGTACTATTGGTGTTGTGTTTCATGTGTTGCCTTCTAAAATGTGATACTATATTTTGTGAATTTTCATTTGAACTGTATTTTCCCAGTGTTAATTTGTATCGGCTTAGTTTTTCTTAACCTTCAAATGATGAATGTCATGCACAACTGAGTAGTTTCTTTATGCCTACATGCATGGATTTCCTCTAGAGTAGATCTTGATTTTCTCCATATAATGTGCATTTGATTTGTGCCGCAAAACAAGTTTGGTTTACGTGGGATCTCTTGAGAAGTATGTATTTGAATGTTATCCCCTTCTTTTTGGGTGGTGGTATATGGTCTTATTTGGAACATGAAATAATCATGATTGCTATTATTTTTTTGTTAAATGGGCTTATACCAGCCAGAACTTTTATGGTTGAGGAATATGTGCTGGAAGTTTCTTGAAATAAGTTTTTCAAGGTAAAGGATTGGCTGGTTTATGGGTGGTGGTTTAGGCTTGAATCAAGCTGCTGTATCAATAAAGTTTTCTAGGACAATGAATTGTAAGCTGAGGACGTTTATGAAATAGAAGATAAGGACAAGAAGATTCCAGTACTACCACCTAAAGTTTTTTGTACTACTTCTTAATTAGGGCTGCATAAAGCATTACAAGACCTCTATCTTTCTCTCTCTAGTCTATATGTCTCTGTGTGTTGAGCTTCCAACCGCACATAACTTATTCCTGTTGGGCTGTAGCAGTGACCTCTCTTCCCATTTCCATCTCTCTTTAGAAGTGTTCATCAAACCAGGAAGCAGGTGTTTTCACAAATTTATAGTTAGATAGCTGCATTTACGAAGAGGTATCCTGCTCCAGTGTTGTTATTGGAGTTTGTATACTATCCTTGATTCATTTCAACATCCTTGTTTGTCACAGGAAAACTGCAAACCATGCAGTTAAAAAAAAAAAAAATACTAATGACAAAAATATTTTTATGCATTTCCAATATAGAGCAAACAATACAAAAATGAGTTCAAAAAACCAGTGGCAACAGGCTTTAGACTTTTGGCTACCCAGGTTTGCTAACAGCATCTAGCAAAAACCATAACAATAGTCTCTGGTTTCAAAAATTGACATGGCTTACTCATACATAAAGATCCTAACCTGAGTAGAAACATGGATCTAGATGAGTTTGTCCATGGGAAACCCAACCCAAAATTTTTTTAACCAAATTAAGCTTTTATTCTGTTAGTTTTGGGTTGTCTGGATAGGGCATATAACTAAGCCAACTTGCAGCAGTAGATTTGAAGGATTGGATTTGAACATCTTTGCAAGTCAACTAGCTTCTATTATTATATTTTATCATCCCTAATTTGGCCAAGAATGAGCTCTTTTCATTATCATTAAGATTGCATTTTGATAGAAAACGAATTTGAGGGTAGACATGTTAAAATTAATTTATCTCAAGAGTTTTCTTGTCTCTGTTCACACACACACACACACACATCTTTTTTTCTTTTTTTTTTTCCTTTCTTTTGTACTAGTCAACTTTTTCTAGCACTGAAGTTAGTGATTTGTATTTTGAACCCTTTTATGCTGAATTTAATGTCAGTTGACTGGTGGGGGGAGCGGTTATCATTTTAAAGCGGTTAGAAGATGGACTAACCAAAAAAATTGGGATACTGTCTTCTTGAGTGTGACAAGGTAAGTCATGTACTTGTGTGGCATTCGTTGTTCCTCTTTGCCATTAGTTTCTTTTGTATGTTTATTTGTATATTGATTTTGCTAACATGATCAGATATTTGTGCCAATTCACCAAGAGATACACTGGTGCTTAGCAGTCATAAACAAGAAGGATCAGAAGTTTCAATATCTTGATTCACTCAGAGGTGTTGATGCTCAAGTGCTAAGAGCCCTGGTATTATTTGTAGCAAATATTTACCTTGTAGTTCATTTGTTTGGGTGCATGAAATGGATCTAAAATTTCATCTCTACCACTCTCTTTTACTACTTCATTGCAGTTTCCAAGGAACAAATGGTCTTTAATTTGTAGTCTACCTTTTGTACTGAAAGCTGGGAAAGACCTTTTTGGGAGTGCCCTTTTGGTCAACTTCCCAGAGTTCTAGATTAATGGATATGAATATTTTGCATCACATAATGTAAATATATGACAGAAGAAGGGGCACCAGGGGCATGAGAGAAGAAAAAGGTAGGAAGAAATTATCCACATTATAGAAGAGGGGAGATATAGCTATCCTTGCCGGGGAGAACCTATGCCCACAAGCATACAGATTTTTTGCTAAATATAACTCTGATTAGCATCAAGGAGAAATTATAAATTTCCTATTAATCCTAACAATGTATGGATTGTGAACTTAAGAAACATAAACGTGTAATAATTGCACTTATTTTCGACTAATTCCCTATACAATATTAAAATAAGAAATAATAATTCCTCTAAAACATTAATATCTTTAAATTTTTGTTTCTTTTATTTCTTCTACAATATAATAATTTGTTGCTTGTTTCCAGTAAGTCAAGTTTCTTTAATGTTATGCTTTATCATTTCCTTCTTAAGTACAATTTATAAGTTGCTCACTCTCCACTAAAGATTGTTCGTTCCTTACCAGGCTAGGTACTTTGTGGATGAGGTGAAGGACAAGAGTGGTGTAGACATTGATGTTAGTTCTTGGAAGGTAGAATATGTTGAGGACCTTCCTGAACAGGAAAATCGGTATGAACGTAATTTGACTATCATTGTCATTTTAAACTTTATTGCTATGAGTTGTAGATTGGCAAATGGACTTTCTCTTGCCATAACCTTAAGGGAAAAATTATTTTGGAACTTGAACTTATGTCAAAAGATAAAGAGCTAAAGAAAGGACAGGAGATGATATACTCATGTCCAAGCTGAGTCAAACTTTTATGTAGCTTGTGTGTATAACTTGGCTTTGCAAGCATTTAAGTGTAAGTGACAATGAAGACTCTTTTCGTGTTGGTGACCTACTGGACGGATGCAATCACTTTAAGGTTAATTATGCAGATACATGTAACCAAAAAAAAAAAAATTATGAAGATATAAGTTTCTAAACTTAAAAATGGAACTTACTGAACATTAATGAGATGTGTGCACTACATGCACTGATAATCAATGGTGCATAGGTAGATTTTTTGTAAATATTGATCATAAAGTCAAATACTGGTCTTTGATTTTTATTTAAATTAATATTTTCTTAAACATCTATAATTCTTCCTAGACAGATGGGATTGTGGCATGTTCATGATCAAGTATGCTGACTTTTACAGCAGGGATGTGGGACTCTGTTTCAACCAGGTAGCTTTTTGTTTGTGCATCTTATGTTATCTGTCTTAAAACATTTTGCATCACTCTTGGCTGTATTCCATAGTAGTCTAAGACTCTGCCTAAGCTCTTTAGCATGCATAGTCCAGATATTCATTTGTGTTTTGTGTATGAAATTCGTGTTAAATTTGTTGCTTCAATTTCATTTTGTTGGATAAAACCTGTTGATCCATTTAGGAAAAGACTTACTTCATTGACCAGATGATATGCTTCTCTGAGTTTTAACATTTCAATTTGGTCTGCGCTATCTCTGAGAACAACATTATTGTGGAATTTATTGAAATTGATCATGAACATGATCCAACTAACAGGTATTTCCTCTTTCCTCTTTCCTTCTAGGAACATATGCCTTATTTTCGGCGCAGGACTGTCAAGGAGATTTTGAGACTAAAAGCCGAGTGATTGGTACGAACCTCAGCCGACTTGATGCATATTGATAGTCCCCCTTGTCATCGTTAGCCAGAGCGACTTTCCTTGGGAATTGGATGCCTTCAGTCTGGCTAATGAGCGGTTGAAGCCCAATAGAGAGAGAGAGAGATTGTACAAGGAGGACCAAGGACGCAATTTGTTCATACATGAATTTTGTTATACTACTACCTAAGCTTAGAAGAATTTGCATGATTCCCCACCCAAACCCACCTCCCCCTGCGCCGCCCCCCCCCCCCCCCCCCAAAAAAAAAAAAAAAAACCCTAAAATAAATAAATAAAAGAAAATTAAAAGAAAGAAGAAAGAAAGAAGATTCATGCGGTAATTTATTGATCTTTTATTAGAAATATTTATATTGCATCCGCTATTTGTAATGACATAAATTTGTTTTCCTTCACTGAATATATATTTTTTTTTAAATAGTAAGGTTGTTTATGCTTTTATAAGGCCAAGTAGTGGTCAGCTCTCTTGCCCTCTCTCTCTCTCTCTCTCTGTACATATATACACATACACATATTGGCTCTACTCTACAGATTCAGGAACATGGGAAACAGAAAAAGGCATTTTGAGCAAGTCAGGAAGGGTTATTACACAGGAACGAATTGTCATTGCAGTACAGATAGAATACATGAAGCAAATACTATAGTATCTCTATTTCACTATTTTTGTTCTTTTTCTTTCCTGGGAATTGCCTTCTCAAAGTCATCCCACAGCCAACACCAAACCCACAAATCCAATAATACCTGTTAAAAGAAAATATCAAACCCATCTGATCTCATAACCACACAGATTCCTCATGGTCGCTCTAAGCCTTGATGTGAAAGGACGAGTGTGCCCTCCAAATGACTTGTACTTCCTCAAGATGACCTGGAATACCTTTCTGCTCCCAACTTGGATCAGGATGAATAATAAAAACTTAGGTCGGATTATCAATTCTTGCACCAAACTCAACTCCCCACAAGAGTTGCACATTTGGCAACAGATCCAAATGAAAAAGAAAAAAACAATTTTGGGTTGTTTTTTGCCAAGGGCATGGGGGAAAGACTAACGGGGTACCCTCTTCCTGCTGAGTATCTCTTGCTCTTTGAGTCGATGCTGGAACCTGGCGAGGCGGGCTTGGAGGCTGACAAGACTTGCTGCTTTGCGTGAGAGAACAAAGCTTAGCTGAGTCACATAATTGTCTATGAGACTTCCCGGTTGATCCACTTCCGCCAACAGTTTCATCTCCTGGCATGCACAAGCCAAACAAGTTATCTAAATGCTAAGACTTGGCAAAGATCAACCACTCTTATTTCTTTAGTCTCCTTTGATTGATTTTTTTTAATGATGACACTTCAGGAAAGGTCTGAAAGACATTCAGTTAATCAAGTGAAATAAAAAATCCCTTTATACAAACGTGCATGCACAATGGCTTTAAAGATGCTGCTGCCACATGGGAGAGGAAATGTTTAATCTAATCTAGAAGAAGGCAAACATGCATCAACATTTTCTTAAATTGTGATAAAAGGAGAATATCCTTCATGACCTAGAAAAAACTAAATAAATAAATAAATAAAAGTACATCATTTCTGTTGGATAATAACACATATTCTCATGTAAATGGGATAATTTGAAATTAATGGCCATAAAAGAAAACATCAAATCTTTACTTACTTCACGAACAATCTCCATTGTATCTTCAATTTCCTTTCTATGAGCTGCAATTAGAGCCTCTTCTTCCTGAATAAAGAAAGCCAACAAATTTAAGCATAGTATCAAAAAGCTTAGTGTTATAAACTAAGATACAAATAATATGCAACAAACTATTGTACAAGTACTATATAATTTACAAACCTCTAGTATTTCATTGATATTTCCATCCGGAAGCGGATATTCAGATTCATGTTGCTTGGATACTACATTGTTACTAGCAATAGAGCTTGAGTTTTGCTGCTTGTAACTTGTGGAAAGATCTGATCCAGCAACATCTTTTTTAGACCAATTCCCTGGCTTTTCAGATTTTTCATCCCTGTTAGACTTTCTTCGAGGTGGAGACACCTTCTGTACTCTTTCTTCTGCATCAACTGCATTTTGAGAATATAATGACGAATAGCTTTTTTGACTTGTTGAACCACCAAGGTTTTGTTTATCAAGCCTGTCTTTTTCAATAGCACCAGAAGCCATCCCACTGTCATCCGGCCATTGAAAGGATAATTTGATTGAAAACTAAAGGATTGTTTATTCGAGTCAGAAGGATTGTAAGATATACTATCTTTTTCCACAACCTTTCTACCTGTATCTGCTACTTTAGGTTCTTGGTCTTGCTCATAAACATCCTCCATCTCAGCAGAAGCAGAAAAGAAGATGTTAACACAGATTCCTTGCTTGTAGATGGCACAGGGCCATTACCCTGATCCTTTTTCATATTTCCACTTCTTGAAAGACTTTTAACCCTGTTGATTTGGTGTTCATCTTTTAGTGTTTGTTTTAAAAGAATATATATATACGTGTGTGTGTGTGTGTGTATTAGCATGAAAAACTGTAAGTTGTATACTTATGATGAAACTGATATCAAAAAGAGATACCTATCTGCATATCTTAATGTATTAAGTGTATGCTCACACGAGCCAGAATTTGGTGAAATACAGGAAATCATCACGGTCTTAGAGTTGCCCACAAAGGAGTCACGAAGCACTTCAGTAAGTTTGCTCCCACGAAATGGAATATGTATCTGGTCATTGTCCAGAGCACGAATACACTCCTTAAGGGCCAAAAGACTCTTGTTAATTTCTGCTCCCTCAATCCTGCAGTAAACCAAAAGTACATATCTAGAATTGCAATACAAAAGAGAGTGGAAAAAAATAAGGAAGGAAAACAGAACGCAGATGAAAGGAAACCAGTATGTCAATACTGCAACTACATAAAACTTAACATACTTCTGAAAATCCATCATTTTTAGAAGTAGATGCTATCAGCCTTTTTATCATTGCAGTTCCCAATTTCAAAATTTTCAATTTAGCTTGTGCATCATATAAATTTATCATGATGTCCTGTCCATTTTTTTCCTTTCCCTAATTTAGTTTGGTTTAAAATGGTAAATTGGCTATCCATGCCACAAAGTTCTATACTTTCTTAAAGAGAACAACTTGCATGCCTGAAACAATGTAAATCAATGCAACTACTATCCAGATAATGTAACAGAAAGGGAAAATTATGTGTAACTGACTGCATGCACATGTATTTTCGAAAAAGTACCGTGTTTGTCGGTCATTATCTGTTGTATCAGCTCCTCGTTCACTACCAGCAAGATCAATGAAAGAAATTTTCCCTACAACCTTCCCACTTCTGGCCTCATTCCCATCATTGTTCCTCTTGGAATCTTTTGTTTCACTGTGCTTCTTAATAGCCAGTTGCAATATAGCATGTGACCTTGAAGATTCCTCATTAGCACCAGTAGAGCCAGTACTTCTTGCAGCATTTCCCCTCTCAATATATTCTTTAACAATCTGTACATCAGAAACTTCAAATTCTTGCAATCCAACAATACAAACTTGTTGTCGCCCATCTTCTCTCATGCACAATTTCCTAAATTAGGGGAAAAAGGAGAGAGGAACAAATTATTTAGACAATGCATTCTGACTCAATAATTAGCAAAAAACAAATTATTAGAGCTAAGCAGTGAAACATTGGACTTCAATCATTTGGAACTGACTGCACCACTAGATTAGTGAGAGCACAATCCATATCATCATCTAGTACACTCAAGTCTCATAATTAAAATTCAGTATTTAGCATTAATTCATGAAAACTTCAATTTGCATATTAGTTAACTAAAAAGAGAGGTCCACTAATGTAGATAACAGAACTATGGCCTAATAAGTGACTAAGCCTACATAGTTCTACCAATGCTATTCACCATCATAACCATCCCAAAAGCATCCACCTAGAAAACCATATTATAAATCTAGGCACCCAGTAAGACGCCCTAAACTAAAAAAATCCACCACTCTTCGCCTCTTTTCTTCTTTCTATTATTATTGGTAGAGAAAAGATGGACATTTGAAAAAGCCAACCAAACTGCAAATTAAAATTCTTTTTGGATGTGGAAAGTGCACCATTTTTAAAAAACTACCCAGTGTTGATCTTTCATACAAGCATCATAGACCAAAATGGAAAAGCAATACAAGGAAAAGATGAGACAAAACAGAAGACAAAATGAAACTTACTTTCTATCACTAAGAAGATCAAACAGTTTTCCTCCATATATCTCAAAAAAGCTAAGCCACAGCTTGAATCTTTGATTGCGGTAAGTAGGGTGATGCAATAATCTGATAAGATCTTCAGTGGCTCTGAGGGGTAACGGCTGCATTGTGTATGTCTTGCCACTTCCTGAAATAATCAAGTAGCATCATATAATTTATCCATATTTGAATTGAAATAAACAGAAATTAATCAGAGGCAGCAAATATCATGATTAAATCAACCTAAAGGGAAGCAAAGCAGACTATCTTACGTTGAAAAAACAAATGAAAAAAAGAACAAAGAACTGAAACAGCGTGCCTTAATGTAGCTGAAGTGCAAGATGACTGCAACTTAAACATTATTGTGCCACAAACCGTTCTCTATTGTAATGGAATAGAACATTTCCTTCACTGGTTCACATTTCCACTTTGTGAATATTCCTAATCATTCTTCATTCATCTTTATGGTTTTCCTTGATGGATGGGTTCATCCTTCTCAATCAGACACTTCTTATGCAATGATAAGAGATTTTGTCATGATCCGCCTTAGAAGGAAGGATATCCAATATCTTTTAAATTCAAATGGAACAAAACATACTGTATTGCTGATAAAATATCTTTTCCTTGAAATACTCCTCACTTTGTATCATATAATATGTGAAGAAGCACTATAGTAAATTGTTAAAATCATCCAACTAGAACTTAGCAATGCTTGTAACCACCACAGTTTTCATTACACACAATGCAGCACTCAGTGACAGGTGGCCCAAATGACACAACTCACAAAGCAAGCCAATTTTTAGTGCTCTATGCAATTACAAGGCAGTAAAAATGCTCATGAACTGGTATATACGCATCCTAACATCAGAAATAACAATCATATATTTTCCTTCAAGAATACAGTAACAGACTTGACAACATGGGATGAGCTAAGAAGAGTCTCCACGTACCAGTTTGCCCATATGCAAAACATGTTGCTTTTGTTCTCTGGAATATAGTGGGAATAATGGGCTCCACAGTTACACGATATACCTGTTTGAATATATTAATAAGATAACAACCATAGCCTTGCAAACCAAATTTGAGAAAAGCTTGTCTTCTTATAAACACCACATCCTGCATACTGGGAGAGAGATAGGAGACAGCACAGGGACACAAAAAGAAAAAAGAAACACAATTATGAATTTACCTCATCATTGTTTACACGCTCATCTAAAACAGCATCAAAGCAAAACTCATGCTTCTCCACATAAGCAGTCAGGTCCACCTTCCACATCAAATATAACAGTCAGATCCTCCAACGAGCAAAAACAAAATGCATGTTGTGGGCAAAAAATATGCATGAAAAAAATGCAACTGTATGTGTAATAATTCGTCTCTCTAAGTGTAGTATGGAACTGAAGTTACATATGCCTTGCAAAGGACGGCTTGCCTGTTAAGAGGCAACAGTTGTCTTTAATTCAGATAGGGTATCCTTACATCGTAGATTTTACAGTCTTATATTTTGCATTAAAATTGTTTTTGGTCATGTTACAGATTTGTTCATGTGTAAATTATAACGAATAAAAAGCATATAAATTTATACTTTGGCATTCAATTTGCTTATATTTTGTTGAGCACTGGGTCCATTTCCATACTTTTTGGATATCAATTCTTCCATGTAAAATACAGCATATACTTAATCACATGGTTTTATAGCATCCAAACCTTTAGCTTCGGTTCATGGACTGTCAAACAAGCATTGTCATACACAGTCACAATATCATCCTCCTTCTTAGCAAGCTCCTTTTTATTTAGTGGTCTTTTGCGGACCTGAGGCAAACATCAACATAATTTAGAAAGAAGAAGTAACATATTTCAGTCACATAGATTCAGCAACTAGTAAAAGAGAAAGACCACTTAAAAATTCTCAAAAGATATTTATGCTAAAAACTAAATCAAATCCAAATTCAAAGGATGCTAAATATGACAGCTATATTTTACAAAACAATGCCAACTTTTTGCTCTGATGAGATATGTAAAAGCAATATTTGGAAGAATGCTGACCGTTAAAGGTGTTGAAAAAGACAGAAAACTGAACAACTTATTTAGAGTTATTTGCTCTAAAATAAAAATTAAAAAAAATCTACAAGATTACAACCCAAATCATGTTGTGCCAATGTAGGTGTAATGACATCAATGGAAAATTAATTGCAATAACTATGCCATTGAGTTGCACAAGTTAACCTGATCTATCCAACTTAAGTGTAAAGGACTTCCATAGTTCCATATAGCTAACTATATCTTTCAAAATTCAGACCCATTTTCAGCCATATTTCATATTTTAAGCACTCAAATTTAGAACTAAAATAGTTAAATTGCCAAATTCTTAAAATCTAAAAATTTAAGTTGCATGCAATAACAAATAATGGAAATAAAAACTACCTTATTTAATTATATTTAGCATTCAGTAATATGTGAAAATCATTTCATTTAAAACTTAGACTCATTTTCAGTGAATTTTCACATTTAAGTGATGCATTCAGTATTAAATGCTTAATGGTGTTATCAAACAAGCCGTTGGTATAAACCGTTAATCCTACCAGCAATCAAATGACAAGCAATGGAGATTAAGAACAACAGAGATGTTTATCAGCTGATCAATTGTGGATAAAACTAACCAAATTAATGTTCTTATGCTACAAGAGTTTCAAGATAGTAGCAAAAATAAAGAACAACAAATTTCTCGAACAAAAAAGTAAGCAATTTACACAAATATAACTGACTAGCAAAAGAGTAACAAGAGACTCACAAAGACAAAAGAACATCCAAGCAATGAATGCATGATTTGCAAGGGAAAAGAAAAAAGACACATTAAACAGGCCATGTATGTGCATCTTCCAGCAGATCAATACCAAAGACATAGAATACACGAAGGAAGAGAAAAAGCATGTGTCACCAACAAAACATACCACAACTTTTATCTTTGCCACATTATTTTCTCTGGTATTGATCTCCTTATCACCAGGTAATCCAACCAAGGCATCGGTATCTGTTTGCCCTCTATCCTGCCTGCCAATCATCCCATTTAGGTCATTGTCAAGGGCTTGCGTAACAGCAGGCATAAAGGGTGACGGCTCAAATGGTTCTGACATAACATGCTGAAAAAATGAAATCAAAAAAATTATCAGCTAATCAAGAGGAATAACTAAAAAGAAAATATAGCTTGAATATAAGGTGGCATAATTGATTATATCACAACCATTCCTGACTTAGCATGAAATGTCTATGGCAAACCCAATACATCAAGAGAGGAAACAACACAAAATGAACAAACATTACCTACTCATATTAACAATTATTCAACCTCTGTCCACCATTAGAAGACAGTCTTGCAAATCTCAACCAGTTGTAGTAGAAGTGAGACTTTCCTAGCCAACAATAAAGACATACATACCTCTGATAGAAGCTCTGTATCATCCATAGAATGAAGATCCAAAAGGCCTGCTCCAAAATCCCCCCTAAACTCAGGAGAATAGAAACCTTCTGGTGCACCCATTCCAGCCGAACTTTGTACTGTTGGAGTAAATGGCTCGGAACCCGATTCTCCATTAAAATTTAGGTTTCTCATTAACTTGAAAAGTCTTTGTTTCTCTTCAGCAGACTGTGCACCATAACCCTTTAAAAGTTTCGAATTTTCTTACATCAGAATCAGAGGAAAATGCCCAAATATTCATTTTCACTGACCACAATTAATTAAAAAATTTAGTCAAGAAATGCAGCCAGTCAAATTAAAATAGATAAATAAATAAAAACTCAATTCTCAATGCATATCAACCCTACGATCTCTTTCAACAAGTGGGCAGCTTAAATACAATAAATTGGACTGTGGAGTGTCGATCATACGGAGGAATACAAATAAGGTAATATAATTGGTTTACAAACAAAAATTACTGTTACATTCACATCCTAGAGAAAGATGAGTAAGAAAATGGGGGCGGCAATGAAATTAGAATCTCTGGCAGCAATTTTTCAATACCTGCATAAGAAGGTTAGGTAGGAGGCGTTGATCGATACCACTGGAAGCCAAGGGTGAGGCCAGATGCTGTAACCCAGCGGACTGGAGCCAGCGTGCCATGACTGCATCTCCAGCATCGGTCCCAATACCAGCATTGTGCAGGGACCCTCCGCCAGGGTGCTCATACAGAGCAGTTGCCGCAGCATTGCTCTGCTGCATCTGGCCACCCATGTGGCGCTGTGATCGGCGTTGCGGAGCCAATTTTCACGATCGGTTGAACATACTGCAATACAGAGCACACACACGCACAATTCAATCGGTTCAAATGCGTGCCTCCACATTCGCAGATCGGGCAATTAGCGATGGAAAATCGAACAAAACCACCGATCTGAGTGAAATGAACTCACCAGGATGCAAAAGGTTGAATTCAAATCAAGCACGCATGAGCGCGGTTACCGTTCAAATCAGATTCGAATCGGCATCAAGAACTGAATCGACTTCGAAACCCGCCGTCCAATGCAGATAATTCGATGGACGTCAGCCCCAAAATGTTAACCTAAATCGAAAACAGTAATCATCACATATAGAAGTAAATGCAATTTGCTGTGAAGATAAACATGCATGCATACGACACACAAGTTCGCTTATACATACACAGAGAGGGAAAGAGACTACTAGATTCAGGCGAAAATCAACAAGAACTTGAGCGGATCTCGGTGGCAACCTGTCGAGGGAAGTGACTCCAAATTGGAGTTGTGATTAGATCTGAAGCAAATTGATAGAGCAAAAGCCCTAACTAACGGATTCAATGCGGATTTAAAAAAAAAAAACCGGTCCGCAATCTCTCCCTCTCTCTTCTCTCTCTATCTCTGAAATTTCTTCGGCTGTTCTGCGAGTACGCCTTCATATAATACCGTCACCCATATATTGTACATATCCATAAATTTATATCTTTGAATGACATATGTATTTAAAAATAATTAAACCGGCTTTGTTTTTTTGAATTTTCTTTTTAAAGACTAATATGCCCCGTTGCTTATTTCTAATGTCTACCCTTCGGCGTTGGGTTGATTGACAGAAATGCCCTTGACATTTGAAACTCGAGAAAATTTACCATTTTTTCTCTATCCAAAATAAAAAAGGGAAAAATCACTTTTTTATTAACACCGATTAGCAATATGAAACAATTAGAGCAAGATTTTCTTTCTTGGAATTGGACCAAATATGATGAAATAACAATAAATAAAATTAGCTTTATAATATCTAAGTTTGAAATTGTGATATTTTCGATTAATAAAATATCTAAAGTTTGATTACGTTAATTTTTAATATTTTATTTAGTTTCTACCTTTGTCCCTTCTTTTATTAATTTTTTTTGAGGACGGAGGGGTAAATTTACCTTACTTTCTTAATTGTTTTCTTTCCTTAATTTATAACTTGAAATTTTAAACATTTATGTTACCTAATCTGCCATTTTATATTGGCAGTTGTGTTTTGGTGAACTAGTATTAAGGTCTAGTGATGTCTTCTGTTTGGTTACATAATGATGGGGTTATACTCAATTGTTATTGAAGTAAACTTGTTTAGAAAGAACCTTAGATGCATGATTAATAGGTTAAGTACCATTTCTGTTTGGACTAATTAGTAGTACACCTTTTACTCCTTGCCATTTGTTTTGTTTTTTACAAGGCTGTTGTTCAAGATTGCAAGCTTTCCTTTACTCAATCCAATATTAGTGGCCAAGATCCTAGCTTATTGAATTGTTGTTTTATTTTTGAATTTATTATCAATAAATAAAAAATGATTATTACCATTGATATGAAAATGATTAGATTCTAATCTCTTCTCACGTCTAAAGAGTTGTTTAATAATATTTAGACAAAGTTACTTGATCGCATATTATTTTGAATAATTATATCGTGTTTGTTTTTTTTAATAAAAATTTGAATAAAATACTGAACAAATATATAAAATATTACATTATTTATGGACGGTGGTACGCGACTATGGACGGTGGTTACAGCAATGGTGATACGCGACTATGGACGGTGGTGGATGATAGTGTGTGACAACAAGTGGTGGCAGTAGTGAGAGGTGGCTAGCAGTGGTTGGTGAATGATGGTGCCAAGTAGCAGTAATGGGTGGTAGTGACAGGTGGTAAAAACAACAGTAGATAACTTGTGAATATTAGGGATAATTTATTTAAATAAGTTGGATAACAGTTAGATAAATCATCTTAACTCTCCTCCTATACAATTTATCTAGATTTATTTAAATAATTATTATGTACAAATTTTTTATTTAATCTACTAAATATTAAAAAAATTAAATAAAACTATATAACTTATCCTTATTCACTTTTATTTAAGTTACCAAATCAGCCCTAAATGGGTAATCTCAATCCTGACAAAAATAAAGAAGCCATGAGTTTCAAACACCTAAGTACTTATTTGTTATTCCATATCTTTATACTATTACGCTGCTTTATCTATTCACATATAATATCTTATAGTGTACAACTTGCAACTTAATATCCACTATTTTTTATCACCTCTTTTTCTCATATTAATAAATTAATCATTAATCACGAAACAAAGTAGTTGCTAAGAGGTTAAAACATGATTTCCTATGCCATTTACTCACCAAACAAAACACAAAATAGTTGTTAGGAGGTTACAACATTATTTTCTTTTTATTATTATATGATGATACTAAGCTAGTTGTCCAACCTTTGTAAGTAAGTTTCTTTTATTTGATAGAAACACTAAGTAAATTACATTTACAACAAAATAAAATTTGTTTAATAACAAAATTAAAATTAATTACTTTATGTAATATTGATATCTAAATATAAAATTTAGCTGCAAAAAACTCTTAGTTTTAAGTGAATTAGATTTTCATGTGATCGAATCATTAAAATAACTAAAAATAATTAATTTTAATTTTATAAATAATTTAAAATTTGTGAATTTAATATTAATTATTTTAATACTTAAAACTTTCAACCTTATCAAACATGGGATTAGTAAAGAAATTATAAGGAGAACTAGAAAAATATTATTTAATTTTAATTTGTGAATTTAAAAGGGGGTGATTTGTCAGAAAATCCCAGCAGGATTCTGCGTAGGGAGAGGCCAGAGCCAAAGTTTCACCTATAATGGCTAGGTGGTAATTATCACACGTCAGGATGGCTATTTGTTTCTCCGCAAACAAAAGAAGCGCCAAAGCATACGCTCCCAATCTGCCTGGGCGGCGTCTCCACATTGGAAAAAATCGCGGAAAGGTGGGAGCCGACCAAAGAAGAGCTGGGTCGGACACGTGTCTTCTTCGTAGGGCCGGGTGTCGCAGAATTACCAGATTGCCTTCCAAGATTCACACTCGAGCGTTACACACTGAACCCTGGACGGTAAATGACATCAAGTGTTGAATTGTATTTGATGATAAATTTTAATTTAATGAATTAATAATTTTAATAATTAATAGGTGAATATTAAATATTAATTAAATAAATATTTTAATTTTTGAGCTAATGAATATTCTGGAGACTATGACTGTGTTTCGCAAGTGTAAATACTTCTTCATAAGTCCATCGTGCTCCTCTTTTTCTAAAAATGAAAAAAATAGAAAAGAATATGGAGAAATTGAATTTTTATAAAATTTTAATTTACCAAATCGCTTAAAAAAGAGATAATTTTATTTTTTTAATTACTTTTGTTGTTTAATTTAGTATTTTAAGTTTTATTTTTCAAAAATCTAATTTTTTATTTTTTAATCAAATAAATACAAATACTATTATTTTTTTTATGATAAATAAACGGAGCCAACTGGGGAGTTGTGCATATTTTTATTAATTATTTTACTTTTTGAAGCATTAATTGTGGAAATTATAGAATACACCTGTGCGCACGTGAAGTGGTCTGTGAAGATGACCGCACGGTACAACCAAAGGTACCCTTGTCTCCAAGTCTCTCCACGTCTCCCCCTTTCCCAAGAAGATATTTTTTCTTCTTTTCATTTTTTATTTTTGTTTTTTTATTTTTTTTAAAAACCCCTCTGAGGTGACTTTTCCAGTCAGTGAAATTGTTTTTTTTTTTAAAAAAAAAATCTCATCCAAATAATAATTAATGAGCATATTTATATATATATATATATATCTGTGTTGTGTATAATTATATAGCATTGACCAAGTATTAATAACAAATATTCCTATATAATCAGCAAAACAATTGTAAACATAACAAATAATAAACTATATAAATATTTTTTTTATCAATTTCTATGAATGTTTTTATTGAAATTTTACGAAATTAACCCTTCAAATTCAGTCTTATTATTTTTTTAATTTTTATGAATTAATTTTAATTTGACGCTTTCCTTTTTATAACTTCCCTTTTTGCATTAAATTTTGTATAACTTTAATGCACATAATAGTTCCTTTTACAATAAAGTTGTATGATGTGAGGGGAGTGGCTATGAGTCCTTCTCATAGGCCTTTAGAAAAAGAGAGAAAAAAAGTTAAAATAAATAATATTTTTTATGACAAGATTTCCTATTTCAGTTTTATTTTCTATAACTTTAATTTCATTTTTCCCTCCATTAATTCTATACAGGAGTAATCCTAGGATGTTAAACCAATTGCAATCATTTGCTTATTTTCCCATTTTTTAAAATACAATATAAATTTACAAATTTCTAACTAATATAATAATCAAATAAGAATATTATATTTTCCTCATTTAATAATAAATATTAAATATTTTGACTTGCCTTGCAAGTTTCCCCCATAGTTTTCCACCCACAAAATTGCCTGGCCTTCTTTCCCCAACCTCCTAGCTGAATGGCATGGCTGTAATTTTGCACGAGACCGATGGACATAATGGTGAATAAAAACATGTATTGATATCTCTAGGTAGGCTTTCTGTATGGTTTAAACCTAACTACAACAAGAGAAAAGGACTTTCTCCTAGTATTTGGTCAATTATAATTGGTAGTAGTTTGCATTCCCCCATCCATTGTTTGCTTACTTGGAGGTTGGGAGGGTGTGGTGGTGTTTTAGAATTAAGGTTTCTTCCTCTAAAATTTCTTTTTATTTCTTTATTTTAACAATATATTCCATTATTTTTATATCATTTTCCATATTTTTGAACAAAAATAACATTTGAGAATTTTGACATTTTTCTTCCATTGTCCTGTAAAAATAAATATCAAATATAGTTTTGGAAAACAACTCATAGAGAGCAATTTTTTATACAATATTATTTCGTCTATTTTATTATGTTAGAAACTAATTATATTCATGATTATGTGATTATTTCTTTCAAAATGTGTATTTTCACGAATTCAAATATAATTTTTTTTGTGAGAATAAGAGTGAACATATTTTTTTAATTTTTGAAAATATAATTTATTTTTAAAAATAAATCCAAATGAACCCCTTTCTCCTACAACTTGTCATTATAAATTACCTAATTTATCATGTTTTTAAAATTAAAAGTACATTAAAATGATTAAAACCTTCCGTAAACAAGGTAAATCATAGAATTTAAAATTAAAATTTAGGTGATATTTTGTGGGGCGCAAGAAGAAGAGGGGGTGGGAAGGGGAATGATGCTGGTGGGTTTCGAAAGTGGACCCTCGAACCTCCTTTTTGATGTGGCCTAAGTTATCATGCCTTGCATTGCACTTCTTTTTTTAAATAAAAGCCTTGCTTTAGTTTAAAGCATGCGAGGTTGATAAGGACCAACGGATTAGGAGTACAAATTTTGAATTAAAGTTCATTTGGGTTAGCTAGCTAGATGTGCTGCCCTTTTGAGCTGTGCACCCACACAAGACTTCTTCTTCTTATTATTTAAAATAAAAATAATTAGGCTCCTGTGGACCTGTTATTCCGCAGGTGATTACCTCACTAATTAATTTAACTTTGTTGCATAATCAATGAGAT